TGCCATACATGTCTTTGAAAGCAAGCCGTTAGAAAAAAAGACAGCCATCTTTGTTAAATCAGAACACTTTTTATCTGCTACAAACCGACCACTTGTTGGTGTAGCGGTTGCCTGTCTCTGTTGAACAAGTACTTTTCCACATCTGGGAATGCAACACAGCGCGCACAAGACAGTTAAAACCAATCAGGCTTAACCGGCTTACAATTATTGTCCACCCAGATCCGTGTACCTTCGGCATTTCTTTGGTCAAGTGAGTATAGACAACAATGTTTACTAAAATTCATCAATCATGCATGCATCGCCCTGGCTCTAATCTGACGGGGCTTACTTATGGCGTGAGGGAATAAGGGGAGAGAGAGAGTGCGGTCAAGAAGAGTGTGGATCCGGCACTTAGTGACCCTGCGATTATTAAAAAGACGTGCAACCAACATGTCCATTTTCGGCCTGTTGGGTCGTCAGCTCAGATAACTCAGCTCCGAGTACAAAAGGAGAGGTGTAATGGCTCATTTCCCGACCCACTACGTGCTTTTGTCTTAATCATGAATTACGTTTAGTCTGGAAGTAAGATGTGCGGTAGCTACTTTGACAGTTCCCTTCATCATGGACAAACTCCTACATTAGTCACCATCTCCAGAAAGTGGAGGTCCTAGGTGCACATTGTGAAAGAACACCTTATGTTGGAGGTACTTCACCGACTGGGTTTCGAAACTTTCCCTTTATGTTGTGCTTCGACGCTCAACCTGCAACCTCATAGTCGCAGAGTGCCCAAGGCGGTATGGACAAAGATGTGGAAGACTGGCATGACCAGTTTGGAACGGACGTGGACAAATCGAACTCTGCGCTACGTAGAAGCGGCCTACATATGGTGGAAGAAACCCGACCTGTGCAAGCAGCTAGACCACGTGGTCAACCTCGGCAATTGCGCAGCTAGTTTTAATCACGACTTGCTTAGCACCAACTTCCTCTCCCACCTTTACTCGCTGTAGACTGCTGTAATTTAGTGCTCTTCAATTGATCAATATTTACACTGAACTGTGACCCTTGCTGTTATGCATCGGCATTCTGTGGAATCTAATCTGCTGTATGCATCTAAGCGTTATCTGGCTCATACAACGACGAGATACTGCTGAAAAGCCGTCGCCAGATTTTCGGAATTTAAAAAATCCTGCTGTCTACGCTTGTTTTGAATTCGTATCGGGTAACAATTGCTTCAACTTATTTACCATCGTTGACCTCTATTACCTTGATCTCCCCCACAAACCAACGATGTGCTGGTATAGCGGTTGCTTGTCTCTATTGAACAAGTCTTTTTTGACATCTGGGAGTACACCACAGCGCCAACAGTATTATGAATCCGGCTCAAACCGATTAGGCTCGCCTTGCCTACCCTTATTGTCTGCTTAATTCCATGTTCCTCATGAGCCTTTTTGTTCATGGAAACATAGGAGACAATATGCACTAAAAAGTCATCAATTAAATGCACAGCATCTCAACTCCATGCTGACGCCGCTTAGTTGTGTCGTGAGGCAGGGAAGGAGGGAAAGAGGGCGTGGGGTAATTCAAGTGTGGATCCGGCTCTTAGTGGCCTCGTTACGCACACCTTACATATCCAGTGGTGGCTCGTTGGGCCAGTAACTGTCATGATAACTCGTGGCAGGTTTTAGTGATTGCCTGGCACACATTCTCTTTTGCCTTGATTTTGTCTTACTCGAAGAATAATTTTGACCTGCGAATAATGCATGGAGTAAATGCTATGAAAATTAACTTCCCCAAGGACTGATTGGTGCACATGCCACCGTCTCTAGGGAGGACGTTTTCACGATGCATGCTGTTGATGTCTTCACTCGCAACGTTACTCGGACTGGCATCGTCTCAATGGAAGCAGGACAAACTGCCATTTCATAGAAGAATTAAACTTGTAAGTAGACCCATTAGAGATAACATTTCCTATCTAGTCACGCACCGCTTGCGATTCTGGGCAGGAAAAATACGAATGGCAAATAAACGGCAGGATGTACTACATATTTATGACCTAACTGCGTCATCGGAGTGTCTGGAATTAATACCCGGGGGACATTAACAAAATTAAAAGTTAGCGGAGTGAGACTGCTGGTGGGTAGTATCATAACCTAAGGCGGCTTTTGATAGTCGGCAGTGCATTGTAATCAGGAAACGCTTTTTGGGGCAGACATTTCATAGTCGACCTTAAACACAACTTCAGCACCTTTTGGTCACTGGATGTATTGGTGTGTTTCAACAGTTTGCCTCGTCGTGGGCCCTGTAGCAGGCTGCGTGTGTATTTAAAAAATTGCTGTTTACAGTAACCTGAAGGGCGTTACTCAGGTATGCAGTGGATAAACGAAAGCTCGCATAATCAGAAACCGGATGTATTTTCTGAATATTGGACTGATATTTCTTAATGAAATTATTGTTGCGATGACTGCAACTTGCTTCCGAAAAGCTTTTTCTGAGTCTCTGTAGAATGTCAGTGAAGCAAAAAGGGAGTTATGTGAGATTGGTGAGAAATTAACTTGGCTTTTGACAAAAAAAGACCCAGTCACCTACTGAAATTTTGGAAAACAGGAAAAAGCACAAAAGTGGGACAAATGCGGAAAAACCGGGGGTGGAAACCCTTCTATGCTGGGATAGCCAACGATAAGATGGCCAGATTGCTGCTAGAAAGTTGGTCCTCGACTGGTACACTAAACAGAGCCATAGACCTTCATCCAGCCTATCAAGCTCTCCGCAGAAGGCTAACATCTGCTAAGAACGGAGCAGTAGGTCGGGTGGAGGATGATACGCAGGGCCGACAGCCGGCAGCCGCGAGCAAAGAAGGTGGAAACGCTCA